TGCTGATCTTGCAGTTCGCAGCCCGATTTGTAACCACTAAGCTATCAGAGCTCCTTTCCATGAGTTGTTAAGTGCCATCAAATTAGTTAAGACTTATAGTGACCCTGGTAGGGTTTCCAAAGAGTGGGCTGGTGGGTTTGAGCAGCTGATCATGCGGTTGGCAGTCCAGTGCTTATTCTACAGCACCACACCAGAACTCCATCTCATAAAGAACCACCAACCTTGTGGTTCAAACCAACCTTGCAGTCCAGTGCATTATCCTGCCCAGGAAACCCTGTGAGGGCAGTTCTATAGAACTGTCCAATCAGTTCGATGACAACGGGTTTATAGTCTGCAATGATTATTTTTACCACGAGATGGCGCTCTACACGAAAGGGATATGGTTGTGTGCCCTGGAGTCGGTTCTGACTCATACCGACGCTGTACCAGGTTTCCGAGGCTGTAAATCTTTACGGGAGCAGAACGCCTCATCCTTTTCCCGTGGAACAGCTGGTAGTTTCAAACTGTTGCCCATGAAAGGGATATGCTTAATGAAAGACATGGAAACAATCCCAACTGGAAAAAAAATCAACGACAGAAAAATGAAAATCAAGTGTTTTCCAGGCATAATGAATCCAGGAATTTGCAAGATTCAAGGCAGTAAAAAACAAAACCAAAAACCTGCATCTTGCAACTGTGTCTTTGGACTGACTACTCCCAGCACTGCATACCCAGAAAATGAAAGTTTCCTCCCTAGGGTACAACTCCGCTTGTTTTGTTCTCCAAGAACCACAACCTTGCTAACTCGTATTATAATATGAGCTGAATTTATACTTGTCTAGCGTAGTGGTTACGAATCAGGCTGCGATCCACAAGGTCAGCAGTTCGAAACTACCAGCTGTTCCGCGAGAGAAAGATGAGGCGTTGGAACGCTCCCGTAAAGATTTTTTTTTTCTTAACTGTTTTATTGTGAATTATGTGATAGTTTACATGGGAGAACAGTAGTTTTACATTCATTCTATCGTATGTATCGTCTTACTGCCATGGTTACAATCCCCTCCATGCATCATCAACCAACCAAAGGATTGTCCCCCACACCCCCGGGTCTTCAGCACACAGTTCCTGTAAAGATTTACAGCCTCAGAAACCCGGTACAGGGTCGCTATGAGTTGGAACCGACTCCACGGCATGCAGCCACCACCAGGCGTTCTGGTGTGGCACTGTAGGATTAGTGCTGGACTGCTAATCACAACGTCGATGGTTCAAACCCATCAGCTTCACCTCAGAAACCCTATCAGGATAGATATGAGTTGGAACTGATTCGAAGGCACTTAACAACAACAAACCTAACACCCTCCTGAGAGGAGTATGAGCTCTCATGTTGTTGTTGTTAAGTGCTGTCGAGTCGATTCCGACCCATAGCGACTCTGTTTAGGGTTTCCAAGGAGCAGTTGGTAGGCTTGAACCACAGACCTTGCAGTTCAAACAGCTTTGCAGTCTGATGCATTAACCCACAGTGCCACACCAGGACTCCTGAGCTCTCACAGTGCCTTATTATTATTATTGTGGTAAAAAAAAAAAAAAAAAAAAAGACACCAGGGACTTTAAAAAGCTCATGGAAAAATTGCATTATTTTTCACTCCATTTTTACACATTATTTTTGAAGCTCCCTCATATATAGCAAACAGTTTGCCTTTTTGGCAATTTTCTTGCTGTGCCGTTTGGTGACATTATTTTTCACCATGGTGTTCAAGGAGCTCTGGTGGTGTAGTGGTTACGAGTTGGGCTGCTAACCTCAAGTTCAGCAGCAGTTTGAAACTATCAGCTGTTCCACGGGAGAAAGATGAAGCTTTCTGCTTTCATAAAGATTGACAGCCTCGGAAACCCTATGCAGGGTCGCTATGAGTTGGAACCGACTTACCACTTTGTTCAACTATCACTGCTGTTATTTCTCAAAAGTTTTATTTATATCCTCCCAAACTGCAACTCCTGGTGTGGCGCTGGGGGTTAATGCGCCAGACTGCAAAGCTGTTTGAACTGCAAGGTCGGTGGTTCAAGCTTACCAACTGCTCCTTGGAAACCCTATACAGGGTCACTATGGGTCGGAATCGACTCGACAGCACTTAACAACAACAAACTGCAACTCAGTTCGCCTTTAGCAATAACTTCCATCCCCTCTCCCCCCAAATCTGTTGTTGACAAGTTGATTCTGCCTCATAGTGACCCCATAGGACATTGTAGAATTAGAATTACTCAGTAGGATTTCCTAGGCTGTAAATCCTTACTAAGCTGACTGCTGACTGCCACATCTTTCCCTGCTGCTCTCTGCAGCCAGCGAGTGGGCTCAAACCTTTTGATTAGCAGCCGAGCACTTAACCGCTGCACTACCAGGCTCCCCTCCTCACCTGCTTGTTGCTAAGTACTGTTGAGTTGTTTCCATTCATAACGATCCTGTATAGGGTTTCCAAGGAGCGGCTAGTGTGTTTGAACTGCCAGCTTTGAGGTTAGCAGTCCAGTGCTTATCCTACAGGACCACATCAGGACTCCCTCCTCACCCTAGTCCCTGGTAAACATGAGTAAGCTTTTCTCTATGTAAAACAAACAAACGCCTGTTCGATGCCCTGGGTACCAGAGATGTGTCACACTGAATAAATACCAACACTCAGAGAGTGTCGTTAGGCCCAAACCCAGGAGTCATCCTGAACTCTTCCTGTTCTCACCCAGCACGCTCACCACGTCCATAAACCATCTCTCAAATCTCATCACTGCTCCCAACCGCCCTGTCTCACCTGGACTGAACAGTAACAGCCTGGTCCCCACGGCTTCATGCATGGCTACCCCCTGTCATCCACGCAGCAGCAAGTCACCTTTTTCTTTGAATCAAAGGGTAATATGCACATACAAAGCATCAGATCAAGGCATTTTCACAAACCAGATACTTCTGCAGGTAGCACCCAGATTAAGAAACTGAGCACGACTTGCAGCCCAGAGCCCTCCTTACATCCCTTACAGCTAGACCTATGCCGACTGCTGATAGCAGAGATTCAGTTTGCCTGTATGGAATCCTACAGCTCCCACTGTAATATATGGTGGGTGACATAACCCACGTATGGGACCCACAGCTCCCATTATATATGACGGAGTGACAGAACCCATGTGTGGAATCCCATGACCCTTCTGCACCTGGTTTAAGCCCAACATCATGTTTGTGGCCAGAGTGAACTTTTAGGGACAGACTGTCCTAATGTTGCCACTGCATGATAAGTCTTAAAAACACCATACTGAGCCAAGTCAGTCCATCACAAAAGGACACAGACTGTATGCTCCCACCCATGAAATAAGGAGACATAGAGAAACCAAGACGTATTATTGATTACCAAGAGTAGAAGGAACCCTGATAACACAGCTGGTTAAGCATTGGGCTGCTAACCGAATGGGTAGGAAGGAAGGGAGAGGGGGCTTGCTTTGGGAGCCTTGAATTTATATTAATGGTGGTGGCGGAAGGATTTGGAATAGGATAGTGAGAAAAGTTGTACAACATGAAGAATGTGATCAGTGTCACTAACTGTACATGTAGAAATTGCTGACATGGCCTATGTTTTGTGATGTGTATGGTGGCCACACTCAGAATAAAATCCCAACTGCCAATCTTGACTCCGAGGCAGGCATTCTTTGCTGATCTCCCCTCCTCCATTCTTCTCATTGTCCCCTCCACCTTGTTCTGTTCTCAGGGTCTCTGCCTATAATGCTCTGTCCTCAGATGTCACCTGATTTGCCCATCACTGCATTCAGGTTACAGAAGCCCTAGTGATTAAGTGTTGGGCTGCTAACTGAAAGGTCAGTGGGTCAAACCCACCAGCTTCTCCATGGAAGAAAGATGTGGCAGTCTGTTTCTGTAAAGATTTACAGCCTCGGAAGCCCTATGGAGCAGTTCCACTTTGTCCAGTAGCGTCGCTGTGAGTTAGAACAGACTTGACTGCAGTGGGTTTTTGGCATTCAGTTTGAGGCCCCTGGGTGATAGAAAGAGTTCGCACTCAACTACTAACCTAAAGATTGGAGGTTCAAACCCACACAGCAGTTTCACAGAGGAAACGCCAGACAAACTGCTTCTGTTAAGATGACAGCCAAGAAAACCAGTTCTAGTCTGTGTCACACGGGGTCACCATGAGTCAGCACCAACTTGATGGCATGAGTTTGTTGTCTTTTTTTTTTTTTTTTAAGAAAGGGAGACAAGAAATGCTAAGCTACAAAGAAAATAAAACTACAGATTCAATTATAAAGGGGAGAAAAGCATATAGAAATTAACACACACAAGCAAGCCATTAATTTACTGAATGTTTGCTGTGATCATAGCAATTTAAATATTGCATTTGGAAGCCACAATATAACCAATTAGCATATCAAATAGCAAAAGTTCACTATAATCAGCAGTGAGCAGCTCTTGAAAGCTCCTGTTATTATTTCATTTATTTGTATTCACCTTTAATAATGATATGCCATGAAAAAAAACCTTAGCATACGGCATAGGCACTTTAAAGGGAAGATGATACTTTTGCATGATGTCTGGCTGTGTAAATTACTGATAAAAAGAAGCCGGCATTCAGCCATGCCTCAACAGGTCTGGTTTTGTTTAGCATTTAGGTCCCTAATCAAATGTCACCTCCTTCCTTGACCTGAGCCTTCCCCCCGGCCCCGCCCCCCATTCTGTTTTCCTTTTCCTCAGAACACTTTCCAGTATCAAAGATTTTATTCCATTCTTGCTATCTTCCAAGCCTGGAATGGAGCTCCCAGCCAGCACTTTGTCTTGCTCATGTCAGTATCACCAGCATCTCCAGCAATGCTTACCTTGGAGTAAACACTCTATAAGTGCATCTTGAGTGAATAAATACTGTTCACCCTAAGGGAAGTCACTCCCCTGTTGAGTTCCATAATCCTCATCTGATAATGGGAGTTGTAATTGATCTGGGAGGAACAGATGAGCAAATGTGTGTTCAAGGGCATTGCTTTTCCATTCTCACCCATAGGTGCCACCCCAGGAGAGGGCAGTATCCTCCAGGAGACATGTTCCTGAGTTCTGCAACAGTCTTGGTGAGCTCAGGGATCTGGATGGTCATGTGCAAAGATGGATACGAAAGCAAAGATGGGGATACCAGAGAAGTCTCCAGGAATCATGGGTCCAGTGTCTGCTCTCCTCTCAGCGTCAGTATCAGGGTCCACCTTGGGATGCCCACATCCTAGGCAGCACCTCCTTTTCAAGCACCTGTCTGATCCCTCGGGACAGTTACTGGGACGCATGGGAGGTATCCTGCGGTCTCAGTGATGGGCACACTCATCTGATTCAAGAGCCACTGCCCCTGGACCTGGAGATATGTCAAAGGATGGAGCAGTTGTGGGTCCACTCCTTGGAAGAACTTGCACCTGACAGCAGCATGAGGTCCCACCCCACCTCTGTATCCTTATCCACCTCTCTCCCAAACCTCTCTTCAGCTCAGAGGCTGCAGTTCTGTCCCAGAGAGTTCCCATCTGTTCCTTCCGATCAGCAACAGGAAATGCCCACATGGAGGTCCTGGGGCTTCCTGCAAGAGGCCTGGGCACCAGAGCGGGAACATCAGATAGCAGACAGAGGAAAGGAGAGGACAGAGGACCAGGCTCTGAGGTGGAGAAACCAGAGACAGAGCAGACAAGAGGATACTGGGGAACCCCAGGCACCTGGAAGTCAACTTCCAATAGACTCTGGAATGGAGGATGATACAGCATCTGAGATCCTGGAGTGGGGAGACCAGAGACTTGTACTAAATGAAACTGATGAAGAGGTCTTGACACCAGGGGTTGAAAACCAGGGCCAGATGGAAAGTGAGAATGGAACCCAAGTCCAGGAACTAGGGAAGAGAAACCAAAGGGAAGCTGGAGAGAATCCTACTGAAACCCAGGCATATAGGATAGAGAACCAGGAACAGTTAAGATGTCAAACCGATGCTGAGACTCAATCACCTAAGTGGGGGAACCAGGGTGAGGGTAGTAGTGAGGATGCTACAGAGATTCAAGCATTTGAGAGGAGAAACAAGAAAGAGGCCACAGGGGAGGGCAAGGGAGATATCCAGACCCAAGGATTGGGGATGCAGGGCCAAACTACTAGTAAGAATGGCGAGGAGCTCCAGATACCAGAGAGGGAGCAACAAGAGCAGCATAGAGGTAATATTCAGGCAGAAGAGAGGAGAAAAAAGGACCAGTTTGGAGGTGAAGATGCTGTGCATTTCCAGATGGCTGGGAGGCAGAACCTGGGACAGGTCAAAGAAGAGTGTTTAAAGACCCAGGCACTGGTGTGGAGCAAACAGATATGGGTGGGACATGAGACTGTTCCAGAGATCCAGACACCAGGGTGGGAGAACCAGAATCAAGGTCAAAAGAAGAAAGCTAGAGGAAAGAATGAGATGAAATTAAGACTTGACATTCCAGTAGGGTGGGGAAACCAACACCCGGGGAAAGGCAAGGATGCTGGAGAAAATCCAATGTTTTGGAGGATGAAATTGAAAGAGATCAGAGAGGAGGACTGGGTGGTGATCCAGGCACCATGGTGGGGAACCCAGAGAACTGTAGCAGGCGAAATTGACAGAGAATTTGATACATCCTGTTGGGGTGATCAAGGCCAGATGGCAGCAGAAATTTGGGCACCAGAGATGAGAAACCAGAGAGAAGGTGGAGGTGAGGGTGGCGCAGAAGCCTGGTCACCTGAGGTGGATAACCAGGGACAATTGAGTGGTAAAGCTGCTGTAGCAATCCAGCCACCAGTAAGGTCTCTGTTCCGAGCAGTGAGTGAGGGCCAGCTTGTAGACAAGAATGGTTCAGACATGCAGGCATCAAGGAAGGGAAGCATGCGAGGAGTTAAAGGTGAGGAGACACAAAGATTTGAGGAAGAAAACCAAGGTCAATTAAGCAGTGAAATGAATGGAAAAATTCACACATCAAAGTGGAAGAATGAGGCTCCTGTTAGAAGCAAGGATGGTGCAAATACCCAGGCTTTTGAGGCAGAGAACTGGAGAAAATTAACAATTAATATGAATGGAGAAGTCCATTTATCTGGCTGGGAGAAAGAAGAGCAGACTGAACGTGAAAACAATGTACGGCTCCAGGTTCCAGAGAATAGAAGCCAGAGAGAAGCTGGAGGTGAGAATGGCATAGAGACCCAGGCACCTAAGAAAGAAAACCAGAGTCAGTTACGAAGTGATGGTGATGGAAATGCCCATTTATCCAAGTGGAAGAACCAAGAGCAGATGAGAGGTAAGAACAGGACAGAAATCCAAGCTCCAGAGAAGAGACATCAAAGAGAAGCTGGAGGTGAGGATGGTGTAGAGACCCAGAGATTTGAGAGAGAGAAGCAGGAACAATTAGATGGTGAAATTAATGAAGAGAGCTCTTCTCCAAGGATGAAGAACTGGGAGCAGGCTGGAGGTGAGGACAGTGCAGAAAATCAGGCATCAGAACAGAGAAACCAAAGAGAGGTTGGAAATGAGGACAATACAAAGATCCAGAAACTTGTGGGAGACAATCAGACAACATCGCTAAATAAAGTTAATGGTCCAGAGATCTGGGCACCTGGGGAAGAAAACCAGATTCCTTTAATAAGTGATGGTGATAGAGATGCCCAGTTATCAAAGTGGAAGAGTCAAGAACAGATGGGAAGTGAGAATGCTGCAGACAGTCCAATAAAAGGGAAGAGAAACTTGAGAGGGTCCGGAGTTGATGATGGTTCCGAGATCCAGGCATCTGGGGGAGTGAATCAGGGAGAGTTAAGAAGTGAAATTAATAGAGAGATCCAGACAGAAGGACAAGGGAACCAGAACAAGGTTGGTGACAAAGATGCTACTGAAATCTGGGATGTAGGGAGTCAGAGAAAGAGCGGAGCTGAGGATGCTGGAGTACCAAGGGACAGAAAGAAGAACCAGGTCAGAGAAAAAGATGCTGCTAAGGAAAATCTCAAAGCTGATTGTGCTGGGGGTGAGGGCAGGAAGCCCAGCTTGGCACAGCCCACAGCCCTCACTAGTTCTGGGAATGAGACCATAGAACGAGGACAGGCTGTGCCTATGAGTAGTTTAGCCTCTGCTCCTGATCCTGAGATGAAGCACCTACCTCAGCAGGATGAAGTCCTCCTTCTGGTCAATGGGGAGGAAGAGCATTTGGCCATTTGGGGCCCAGTCCCAGCCAGGGAGCATGAACCTCAGAGAGGTGGACGAAATGACAAAGACGTGGTCCTAGGGAAAGCCTCCAGCTTGACTCAGCAACCCTGGAACCTGCCTTCATCTGTGGCCACCCTGAGTCTGCCGTCTGTCTGCCCTTCTCTCCAATGTGGCCCAGCCTCCCAAGGTGCCACAGCTTTTCCGGGCACTGCTACTGCTCTCACTGACCTGCCCAAGGGGCCAGTTCTCAAGAAGAGCCAACGACTGGTCCTGGAGTCCCTCATGCGGCGGAAGATTGCACACCTCAAGTGGGGCCTTCCCAAGCGCATCTTGGAGTCCTATTTGCTCCTTAACTTCTTAGGATCTTGTCCGTTGCCTATTGCTGGGCTGAGGCTCCCTGGATTATACACCGATCATAAATTCCAAGGGCAGCAGAAGAGATTCGGTGAAGCTCAGGGCTCCAGGGCAGGTCTTAAGCCCCCAAAGAAGCCTCCGAGGGTTAATGCCCCAGGAAGAAAGTGCCCCAAACTTCCTACACAGTCTAGAGCCCTGGAGAAGTGTGGACCATACTGGACAGAGCCACTGGGCGGGCCCATCCACCTTGAAAAGCCCAGGACAACCAGACCACCAGGTGGCGCCAGAGACCGAAAGGCAACCCAAGGAGAGACCCGGTTCTGGGTTCCAAGAAACCCCAGACCTGAAGCAGAGTCTGGGAGCTGGTGTAGCGGAGAAAGGGCAGAAGTGTCTTCCAGTGAGACCGTCAAAGGAAGGAAAATGGTCAGGCCAGCGGTCTCCCAGATGGCAGAGAGGGCTCCTAGCAGAGTGAGGACCTCAGGTTCTAGGGCACGTCACTACAATCAGAGGAAAGAGGGCCCCTTGTGGGCGGTTCCTGAGCTTCCCAGAAGCAAACTACAGGATCCCACATACTGGAGAAGAGGAAACCTGGAATCTATGGAGGCCGGAGGGGATGGTCATCAGTCTTCCTCCAGTTCCACAGACCGCTCCAGCTTTAAAGGGAGTCTCCGGTCTGCCGCAGTGAGGCTGAGCATGACCATTTTGAACAAGATATCCTGGTCCTCACAGCCGTCTAAGCCCCAGCACTCTGTCCCCGACCTGAACCTGCAGAATCCCACTCCTAGTCGGCTTCCTAAGGCAGGGGACCCGCACACAGAGCAGGGCAGCATCGATGTTAGCACTTCTTCCAAGAGGCACCTTCAGTCACCAAGTCACTGCGGTGTTGGGGCCCACCTGCCTAGTCCAGGGAGCCCCCAGAGCCAAGAGGCACCTTGGAACCCAAACAGGGCTCCATGGAGTCCATCAACACCCCCAAAGTTTGTTTTTATGAAGCATTTGAGATCTTTTCTGCTCCAACTTGGCTTTAGAAAGTAGCCAGCAGGCCCAGAGTCCTCAGGGAATGGCAGAGAAGGAAGGAGAGCAGCCAGCTTACCCCAAAACCTCTAATAAACTTGGTTATTTGGGCCTTGAGTGTTCTGAGTTCTTTGGCACACGTTCTCTGAGTGCTCCCTTTTGTAGTTTGAGATACAATGTAGGTAAAAGCCACTTTAAGCCCATGGTTCTGAAGGTCTGGGGCATGTGGGTCAGTCAATACCTCCCCTCCTTAGCTCCTCACGCTAGGATCCACTGGGGTTTCTGTCGTGTTTCTGTCTTTAGTTAGTCCTGACAGGTGTAAAACTCCACCTTAGCTGCTTCATGAATGGTAAGTGCTCAACAATTATTCAAGTTCTTGTGGTTACAGGCAGAACAGCTGATCCCTGGGCATCTGTCCTAAGTTCTGCCTCTGACCCCCAGTCCCATGGCTGGGATTCTACTGCTCATGAACAGACTTCAGGGTCTAAACATCCTCACTTTTTCTGTCCTCAAGTACAGTGGTGGTGGTTGTGTGCCATGGATTCGGTTCTGACTCATAATGACGCTGCATAGGGTTTTCGAGGTTATAAATCTTTATGGGAGGAGAAAGCCTCATTTTTCTCCAGCAGAACAGCTGGTAACTTCGAACTGCTGACCCTGAAGTTAGCAACCCAACTCGTAATTACTACACTACCAAAGCGCCAAGTACAGTAGCCACGATTCCCTATTGCTCTGCCTAGCCCACCTGTGGGAATCCTGCGTCCAGTCACTTGCTAGAATTAAACCAAACTTCTGCGCCAACTGGCAATGTGTCTTGTAATACTTCTGCTGAGAGCTTTGTTGTTAGGTGCCATCAAGTCAGTATCGACTCATAGCAGCCTTATGCACAACAGAACAAAACACTGCCCAGTCCTGGGCCAATCTCACAATTGTTGCCACACTTGAGCCCATTGATGTTGCCACTTTGCCAATCCATCTCGCTGGGCGTCTTTCCACTTTTTCTCTGACCCTCCCTCTACCTACCAAATATGATATCCTTCTCAAGTGACTGTTCCCTCCTGACAATATGTCCGAAGTGAGAGATGAACTCTGGCCATCCTGGCTTCCAAGGAGCACTCTGGCTGCATTTCTTTCAACACAGATCCATTAGTTTTTTTGGCAGCCAGTGGCACTTTCAATATTCTCCAACACCATAACTCAAAAGCATCAATTCTTCTACAGTCTTCCTTATTTACTGTCCAAATTTCGTATGCATATGAGGTTATTAAAAATACCATGGCTTGAGTCAGGCGCACCTTAGTCCTCAAGCCTACGTCTTTGTTCTTCAACACTTTAAAAAGGTCTCATGAAGCAGATTTGCCTAATGCAATATGTCGTTTGATTTCTTGACTGCTGCTTCGTTGAGTGTTGATAGTTGATCCAAGAAGAATGAAGTCCTTAACAACTTCAATCTTTTCTCCATTTATAAAAGAATGTTATTTATTGGTCCAGTGATGAGGATTTTTGTTTTCTTTACACTGAGATGCAATTCATACCAAAGGCTGTGCTCTTTGATCTTCATCAGTAAGTGAAGTCCTCTTCACTTTCAGCAAGCAAGATTGTGTTATCTGCATATCGCAGGTTGTTAATGAGTCTTCCTCCAATCCTGATGCCATGTTTTTCTTCATATATAACCCAGCTTCTTGGATGATTTGCTCAGCATACAGGTTGAATAAGTATGGTGAAATAATACAACTGTGTCACACACCTTTCTTATTTTTAAGCAGTTCAGTGTTCCCATGTTCTGTTTGAACAACTGCCTCTTGGTCCAGGTACAGATTCCTTCTGAGCACAATTAAGTGTTCCAGAATACTCATACTTTTCAATGTTGTCCATAGCTTGTCATGACCCACACAATCGAAAACCTTTCCATAGCCAATAAAGCACAGGTAAACATCTTTCTGGTATTTTCTGCTTTCAGCCGAGATCTACCGGACATCAGCAATGATATCCCTTGTTCCACGTCCTCTTCTGAATCCAGCTTGAACTTCTGGAAGTTCTCTGTCAATGTATGATTGTAGCCGTTTCTGTATTACCTTTAGTAAAACTTTACTCACAAGGGATATCAAAGAGATTGTCTGATGATTTTTGCATTCCATTGGGTCACCTCTCTTTGGAATGGGCACAAATATGGATCTCTTCCAATCAGTTGGCCAATTAGTGGTCTTTCAAATTTCTTGGCATAGATGAGTGGTCTCCAGTGCTGTCTCACTTTCGTGAAAGGTTTCAACTTTTATTCCATCAATTCTTGGTGCCTTGTTCTTTGCCAATTACTTCAATGCATCTTGGACTTCTTCCTTCAGTATCATTGGCTCTTGATCATATTCTACCTCTTGAAACAGTTGAATATCAACCACTCATCTGTCAGTTTGTCGTACGGTGGTGGCTTGTGAGTTGCTGTGATTCTGGAAGCTATGCCACTGGTATTTTAAATACCAGCAGGATCACCCATGGTGGACAGGTTTCAGATGAGCTTCCAGAAGAAGACAGACTAGGAAGAAGGAGTGACGAACTACTTCCAAATATTTAGTCACTGAAAACCTTATGAATAGC